GAGCAATTCATGCAGTGGGAAGCACATAATCCCGCAATATCAAAGGTACATACCTGATAGTGGCGGAGTAGCAGGGAGAGAATGGGCTGTAGAGCTGGCCGGCCGTGAGCCATCAGATGAGGGCGGCAGTGGCGGCTCGCCCGCTCCAGGAGGACGGGAGGCACGACGGAGGGCACGATCAACTCCTCTCTCGATCCCGGCCTCCACAGCAGCGTTTAACACCCGAATGAGGGCTTCAGGTCCAGCTATCGCCTCGGAGCTCGTGCTGCTGGTAGTGATCGGCCGTGAGGAATGGCTGGAAACTGCTGTAGTAGACGAGGAAGAACCCGTAGCTGAGCCAACACTGCCCGCTTCGGTTACTGTGGATGAGCTCGTGCCTGGCGACGACCCAGCGCCAGTACCGCTACTAGTTGTCCCATGAACGGAAGCCATCCTCAGCGCAGAAAGAACAACAGAAAGAAGAGACGGACTTGCAGGACACAAGAGTGCAGATAAGCCTGCAAGACTGGAGCGACTGGCTTGAAATGCTTCAGCAATGCTTCAGCACGAATGAATGCAAACCGCAGTCTGCCGTGACCTTGATCGGGGCTTATATAGGCTGGGTAGGTGTGGTTAACCCCGCTTAAAGCTCCGCCCTAACCGGCAATTTGACAGGAAGTTTTCATCATCAAAACGTCACGTGTAGCCCCGCCCACACACGCAAATAAAATGGCTGAAACTACAATGTGACATGCCGTTAAAGACAGGAATGGATCCAATTATTTGCGTGGGTGCAATCTGCGCATGCGCAGTACTTACTAAATTGTACTTCAATTTATAATGTTCATAACTCAAACAAAAATGTAAAAAAACAGTTCAAACATGAATAAATGCTTGTTTAGCCACACATTTGATTTCAGGTTACTCTGTTGAGTCTACAAGGAATAAGCAATATTAATAATAAATGTAAAAAGTACATGTACTTTGCATTAATGTTTACAAAGAACTTTGTAGCCTATTTTCATCTCTAAAAATAATTTGACAGGAATGTCATTCTACAGATAACGAAAACAAATTTTATACAGCAATAATAGTTTTTACTGACCTGGAATTATACTGGTGTCACATTAAGTAGTGCCAAGGGAAATAAAGAGTTGATAATATATCTAGTCTTGGGGAAATGTTATCTGTTTAACAGAGATAAGTTAAAAATAAACCTTTCATTGCAAATGCCATACACATGGAACTAGATATTTCTGTGGCCCAAAATTTCTGCTAATTATGCAGATTTCAAAAACTGTGAAAAT